TATTGTTTCACATATTCAACACAGCAAAAAGTTTAAGAATCCATCCAGTGCGAGTGGAATCACAAAGACTTGTCACACGCTGCAATCGCATTCTCTCTTCTCTGGTCCCGACGAAAGCTATGCAGAGAGGGATGGATGGCAGGGCCACAGAGAAACGTCACGCGAGCCCCATGACCTTGAGCACTTTTTTTTCTTCCCCGAATGCGCGGCTTTTTCACTGTGATCGCGCGCGCACGCGTGGACAAGTAGCGGCATCCCGCGGCAATCTCTGTAACGAGTGTGCGCGCCACGTTCAAATTAGCCAATAGCTGATAGATGGGCTTGCTACGGGTGATATTTGGGTATATTGCGTGATTTGTAAAGATAATTGAAAGCAATTGTTAGCCGACTTCCATAATTTATTGCGAATTCCAGGCCGCGTGCTGCGCTATGATATTTAGCTCGCGTGTTGTCGGGAGCCTCTACTAACAATCGGCAGCGTTTCTGACCACGCTAAAAAAAGTGTTGCAGGGCCCCTCTAAAGGGCTCGGACTGTTGTATGCTGTTGTCGCTTGGCGCAACGCAAGAAGAACCACGTATCAAAATAGATAAAAAGAGAAGGCAGGCGAGAAATAGAAACTTGAAAAAACTCTAAAGGAGAAAAAGAAAGAAAGATAGGAGGAGAGAAAGATAAAACCGAAGAGCAACAAACCCGGCGCCGGACTTCCTTCAAGTTTGGCAGCGCTAATGGCGAAGCTACCGTAATTTCCAGACGCGTAATTATTGTTGCATTTTCCGCTTAACTTTCCGAGACGTCAGAATTTATTAGCATTATCACGTATTATTCATCAGTAACTCACTTCGAATACTGAAGTCGATTACCCACGAATAGACTGAAAAAGCTAAAGATGATTACTTCACTCAGCTGAGCAACACAATCAAACCAAATCCTAAAATGCTTTCGAAGTACTTGAAACAGCGCGGCTCAGTTTCCGTTGGAATTCAGGAGTTAACTTATAATGGCAAGTTAATCAGGCTGATGATGATGATGATGATGATGATGATGATGGCAAGTTAATTACGGGGACAAAGCTGCACGCCTAAACAACTTCGTGCACTCGGCATTCTTACTTAAACACAGCTGTGATTGTCAATTAACTATTATGAGCATTTCGCCTATGCTTCCTATCGAGCTTAGTGCTGACGAAATTGAAAAAAAAAATGATTGAAGGACGTTGATGAGAGTAAATCTAGTGGTCCAGATGAAATTTCTCCGCGAGTACTTAAGCGTTGTGCGGTGCCAATTTCAACGTACCGTTTTGCAATTTTTGAAAAAATCTTCAGCGACAGGTATGCAAACACATGACTGGAATGTTTCGCACGTGGTGCCGATACATAAAGGTGGTTCCAAAAAAAAGACGTTGCTAGCTACAGACCAATATCGTTTATGTCTATTTTATGTAAAACGCTAGAACATATTTTATACAAATAAATAATAAATAATTTAAACAAGCATAAGGTTCTAATTCACGCGCGGCACGGATTTCGCAGAAGGCTAGCACAACACAATTGGTGGAATTTTATCAGGATGTAGTATCGGGCGTAGATACTGTAAGAAGGGTTAACGATATCTTCCTCGACTCGGAAAGCTTTTGACACGGTGTCACATTCACTCTCACTGTTTAAACTTGCCATCCTGAACATTGATAAGACTGTTTTAAAATGGATCGAATGCCATCTTTTTCAAAGAATACAAACCATAGTATTAAATGGAAAATGCTCTGAATAAGCAGATGTTACTTAAGGGGTCCGACAAAACTTCATTTTGGGTCCACCATTTTTTTTTTAATTTATGTTGATAATATCTCTGCAGAAACGCCATTTTCTATAGGGTTGTTTGCGGATGACGGTGTTGTGTACAAAAAATTTTTCGATGTCAATGATGAATCAGAAATATAGAAAGACTTATCACTCATTCATAGCTGGTGTATTAATTTAACAATGAAATTAAATATAACCGTGTACATATTTCATTTACTAAAAGATGAAAACATTTGAGTCACGGTACCACCTGAACAATGTACAGTTGAAACAACATAGTACACGTCAAGGTGTGCTACTACCATCTGAATGTTTATGGAGACCTCATGTAGGCACTCGCATAGAAAAAGCTGGCAAGGCTTCAAATTTTATTGAAAGAAACCTGCATATGAATTTAGAACGCATGGCATACACTACTTGCATCAGACCTATCTTTATCTTAGAATACGTTTTTCTCGTGTGGGACCCCGCCGAAGTAAGCTTCATTGCTGCTCTCGAACAAATCCAAAATCGTGCTGCCAGGTCCGTCTTTGGGGCGATACGGAAGAAGGGAAAGCTGCACTGCAATGAAGGCTAAGCTAGGATGCGAGTGTCTTTTTGACCAAAGCCATAAATAGATAATAAAGTTTCTTTATTTGATTTACAAGAATAAAGCTGGAATTTACAGAGAAATTTGCCTAGACAGACCTCATTGCATATCCAAACGTTTTCATCATAGTTGCAAAATCTTGGAATACCGAGCTAAAGCGAACATTTTTGTAGTATCGTGCGGCGGACGGAGAACACAGAGCAGGGCGCTGAAGTGCCGGCCGACACGAGGTACGCAGCAGCCGGTAGCCGAGCAGCCGGTATCCAAACGCATGGATGGATGGATGGATGTGGCTGTACCCTTTAGATCGGGCGGCGGCTAACGCAACCTAGCCGTATTACTTAGTGAACTAACCATTAGATTTATCTTTTGTTTTTTCCCTTTAAATAGTGAGGTTGAGGATTCGAACTTTGGAGTGAAGGGTTTAATTTTCACTCGTGCCTTGACTTTAGCCACCAAACAGATAACCTCCTTCTAGTTAAGTCTACCCGCTTAAAGTCTATTTTGCCCTCCCTGTCCTTAAACCCCAGCGCTTTGAAAAACACTGCGCCATCATCCTGAACTATAGGGTGAAGCTCTTTACAGAACATTATCAAGTGTTCGGCAGTTTTTTCTTCCTCTCCACACGCACTGCATACTGTGCCTACCCCTTCGTATATACACAGGGTAGCGCCCCCTGAGGGCGAAAATATGTCACATGAAACCGAAATTGACAACCATGAAACAGAAACCGAAACGCATCACAATTTTCCCTAGAACAATTAAACAGTGGATTATGCTAAGCGGAAAGCAAGTACATAGGGCGAGCGAAGATGTATTTTATTCAATGCTGTAATCCATTGTTGTAACCTGAACAAACATGTATTTATGTGTGAACAAAGATGTGTTTCCGTTATTGATGTGTGTATAAAGTTGTATTATGTGTGCAGGTACCTAATTGTGTGCAGGTACCTAATTTATTGATGTAACGATTCCCCATCCCCCCGCTATAACGCCTTCGGACGCTGCGGGGTATCAATAAATGGAGAAGATGCCGATTTATTGAGTGCTCTAGGAAGTAATGAAGCGTGGCATCTGTAGCGTGCTACTCCGCCATTGTTTCGATATCAACTTGCAGGAGTCCGCCACGCAGTTCTTGAATGGATCTACGTCGACAAGGCGGGTAATGTCACATAGACGCTACATTAGGTCTTTTTGTCAAGGGATAGATAAAACATGTTCGCCCCCCCTCCCTTTCTCTCTCTCTCTATTTTCCTCCGTGTGGCGTCGCGTTCCTCAGATAAGCCAACATCTTGCAAAGTGCAGTCCACATTTCTGCGCTCATCTAGCGAAGTGTCTCTGCGCACGAATCTCGACGGCTTTTTTGCCTGCGCATATCGATTGTGCTTTGTTTGCGGTGGCAAGAGAAAGGCTCATTGTTCAAGCGCCACTTCTTAGAAGAGGGGGTCGGTATGTCTCCAAGAACGCCGCGGTCGTTCCCCCGAACGTTTGTTGTCTCTGTCGCGCTATGCAAGCTCAGAAGAACAAATGTCACAACATGTGTCCACAACGCCTGTGCACGCTTGCCTGCGACATTCGAGGCACAAATGGCACGGATTGTTTTTTCTTGGTCTGTGTCCGATTGTTTTGCTGGCAATACTTTTTTTTTTCGTCAGCCAAGACCCGGGCAGTTATCCTTTCCGCGAAGAAGTGGTGCGCTGGATACCACACAAGTAACTTGAAACAACGTGAGCTGGTGCATGTCGGGACAGGTACAGAGAGGCAAGGCATAGCGCTTACTTCCAACAAAAGATATATTCACGAAGCAGTACGTTGCCTGCGTTGGTATCCGGGATTCTTATGTTTTTACTTCATGCCCTTTGTAAATAAATCCTTTCTCAGAAATTAGGACTGTGTCCTCGTAGTACTTTTGTGTTCCTGACCCTTCAATGCGGTTTATAATAGGGTACGCAGAGATGGCGTTCATTGGGTACCCACGAGGATAGCGTACGACTTATGCGCAGTGGCGGCAAGCGCTAACGCAAATCATTTTCATTTATCAACTAAGTTCGGGAACCCTAAACCTTGCTAAAGCTGCCTAGGAGCTTCATCTGGAACGGTAAAGTTGTCAGTGAGACGTGGATAGCTGCAAAACCACACCCAAAACTTCGTGCTGTTTCAGCGGTGCTGCTGAACTTTAAAAAGTCAGTGCAGATGCACATACATAAAAGAGGCACTTCGGCACAAACACACCGCATCGTGCTTTTTACCGTCAAGCGCAGGAGATCGGTTTCAGCGGGTGCAATGACGTCACAACCCACGCGGTAGGTGTGGTGCAGTGAAGCCAGCGTTGCAAGGACGAAACCTTTTCCCGGTCGGTTTTCGTCTACCCTCACGCAAACTGAAACTTCGAAATCTCGGTGTTCGCTCACGCGTTACGTGAGGCCTTACTATTCGAGAGCATTGCGATAAAAAGTGCAAGCTTAGAGCGGGCCGCGAGCCCTGAGCCGCACTCCGGCGTCGATCGTGCCGCAAACAGGCCTCGTCGTGAAAAGAGAAACGAAGAGAAACACGCTGTTTGCAAGCAGCTACCGTTCGGGCATGCCTCCTCGACAGGAAGAAAAGCACTCACCGGTCACGTTGAGCAGCACTAGATCGACGGACAGTAGCGTGGAGAGCTGCAGGCGCATATCCTCATCCGACTGCAGACGGGCCGCGGCGGGCTCCACTCCTTTCCATAGCGCGCGCGCCGCGACAGCCGTTAAAATGGTCGCCGCCTCCTCCCATAGTGTGTAGATCTTAAGGTAGTGAAACTTCGGGCAATATCTACCATGGCTTCAGAAACTTGTTCATGACATCTTCGATTGAGATGCACTGGTACCGTGAGTGTATAAAAGAAGTTACGTCAAACACCACCCGAGTTTTACTCCTCGCTACGGGCCAGTCGAACACGTAAACCACAAAACACGAATCCGCTACAGCAGCGCTGTATGCGAGACACGCCATTTAGCAGGCGACAGTTTTCAGCGTGCTGTTTGTGCTGGCAAAAAGAGAGAGAACAACACAATATCAAACAATGAGACACACTTGCGAGACGCTACAAGTCCAGTGGGTGCACGTCTGTTCTTCAGGCGGTTGTGCTGCATAGATTCTGTACTAACTCGACGAGAGTAACCGGTAATTTTCGCATTGCCTTCAGTGCCCAGTGGAATCCTGGCAGCAAAAGTACCCTTGTGCGAGCACAGTCAAGTTGTGTAAGCTCACTCACATTTTCTGTCCATTTAGCCGTGTTTTGCGGCGGCGCCAGCAGTAAATTACTTCTGCAATGACTGAACGTACCGCGTCGTCTGCCAGAGCACGCGGGCCGATGGGATTGCACCATGCGCCACCGCCAACCTCCACGGTGCCCAGGTGGCGGGCACTCATGTCGTGGCCGGCCCAGTCGAGCATGCTGCACTGCACGCGTGGTGCCGTTACAAACGTACGGCACAACACGAGTGCGCGAAAACACCACCGGTGCCGTCAATCGAAGACGCCATAAAAGTAATATAACTTTACGGAAGGTTCTATAAGTTTCTTTACTAACTCAAATTTTAAGATGGTGATTGTGACGTTTTGATTGCCGTCGCATGGTTACAATCATAGAGTTTATATAATGACTTGATGGTTACAACTATGACAATTATTATTGTATTAAAAACTGTTTTTTAACTTTAAAATCTAAAACAATCAGCATATTGTGCACAAATATTGCATGTTAAATAGCTTGAAGTGACCGAAAACACATAGTTGTGAATTATAACAAAAAGTCAACAAAACTTGCAATTTTTTTTTATGCTTCGTGAACGACTGCATGGATGTAACAAACGTTTAGAGCATTCAATAACGTTAGTAATCATAATCACGCACCTCAAAATGTAGCCCCACAACATCATCAGAAGCAATTGTTAACAATTAACGGTGAACGTAGGTAGCCTATTTGATATTAAACCAGCGTAATAGGCTAAATATATGCGGTAAACATTTGCAGGGACGACTCCTAGTGGCGACATGTGGATGCTGTACGGCTAAAAGTAAGGAAGAGGGGGAGAGTTTAAGCTACGTGCGTGGCCATGTGGCGCTCCCTGTCGTCGGCGCCAGCACCTCCTACGAGGCGGGTAATTTGACTGGTCTGGCGTGAGCACAAGCTTTCGCCTGCTTGTGCTGTAGGAAATCGACCATAGCACGGCCGCTGCTTTTGCCGCTGACCGCCATCTAAGTATATTCAGAGCTCGAAATGCCTTCTACGGCGCCTTGCCCAGCGTGTCGCAGAGTAAACATACTCGCAGTGCGTCGATAGGGCGCATGAAATGCCACTACCTTGTCTCTATACATCGACATAGCAGCCGTAGCAGCAGGCTAACTGTAACAGAGGACAAAAATGTCGCACCTATTTCATGGCTTTTGACCAAACGCAAACTTAATCAGTGTTTGTGATAAAAAGTACTCCAAGCTGAGTGTAACCAATAGGCGAGGCTAGCACTAAGGGGGTCGTTCCACTAAATCATCTAAAAGGAGGGCGACCAATTCTGTCCTATGCCTTCGCTCAGAAATACCTTTCGCATAATGTGGAACTATATGAGCGCACAAGGTACAAGGAAGGAAGCACTTGACAGGAAAGACGCTCAACTTACAACTGAACTTTTATTAGAAGACATTCATTGCACGAGAACACAGAAACGTGCAGGCGCAACCAACTATCACTTCAAGGTGCCACCCCCCGCCCCCACCCCTTAAAGAAAGGTATGTTTATGTACTTCAACTGCTCACAAAAGACACCTATTTTTCACTTAGTGCTACCGAAGGAACACTAATACACGTGCTTCCGTTCACCCTAATCTGTTCTGCTTCCATGATTTCTCTGGTCAATCTGAGTTTAGATTTGCCCAGAATGCTCATGCTGCCAAACTGCGGATTGCATCCACCATCCCTGCAGTGCATTGACAAGTGCGTGCTACCTCCGAGAAGCTTCAAGGACGTCACATATTCTCGGTGTCGATCCTTTATACAACGACCCATCTGACCGATGGAACACTTTTCCGCAGCTCAAGGGTATTATGTACACAACCCCTGCAGAACACATAGTACATACAGCGTGGCATGTTTTTTAGTGCAACCGCTCTTGTTCATTGTTCCCCTTCCACAATTTCCTATCGTGGAACACAGTTTTGCCCGCTTGCCGAAAGACGCGAGAACAATGTGTACTCCGTGCTTGACCCCAATCTTCATCAAAGTGTGCGACATGTTGTGCACCTAGGGCATGGCTACAACCATTTTTGTTGGCCTTGTTTCCGCCGTGTTGGTGGCACTTAACCTTTTTAACTTCTTTAACATGGTACTGCCTACTGCCACAAGCAAGCTGTCCGGGTAACCTGAACTGAGTAGGCGTCTTACCCGATTCTGGAAACTGTGTTCCATTTTATGTGGACATGATTTGCTGAGTGATGAACTATAGGGCAGAAACTAGCTATCGCCCTTTTCACTAGCTTGCTGTGAGAAGAGTCAAAGGGTAACAAGCCCTTCTTTGACCGTGGGGAAAACTCCCAGCAAACGCGACCAACTTCTTTGAAATCAATGTCAAGATCTAAAAACTGCAAAGCCTCTGTGGCTAGTTGTTCATGGGTGAATGACTATGAACTTGCGCATTGTTTACAACAATCCAAAATGTTTGTTACTACTGAAGTGGGTGAACAGTAATCCTCTATGTTTATTATCACTGGGAAGTCGCGAACATATCTGTAGACATTAACTACAGGTTGTCCCACAAACTCACGTTGTAGCTTCCGGTCAAGTTTTGCTAAGAATATTTCACAAAGCACAGGGGCCACACGGGACCCAATGCATATGCCCTTCCTTTGAACAACTGTCAAATCTTCAATTTTCACCAAAGTCACACACAGGTAGCACTGAAGTAGATCCATGAAACTTTATACATTAATTAATGCATTGTTTTGAAAGTTTACAACCCCGAGTCAATGGCCTCCCGTATAGCTAGAAACGGTTCATTGTGTGGGACGGAATAGAATACCTTTCGCATCATTTCTTAATACGCAGGGTTATGGCAATGTTCTTTGACGATAATGGCAACTGGCCTGATCTTGCATTCCAAGAACTGTTTACTACAGATTTACACCCCGGGAAGCAGGGAACCAATTGTAGGCGTTTGTGAAAATCATGCCACTACTTCGTTTTATTTTTGCATCTATTGCGGAGCTTGTTTTTTGTCAGGCACGACCAATAGAGGAAGGGAGGGGATGAAACTTGGCCTTCATACAGAACAGGAGAATCCAAGTACATGCCCGTATGACATTAGCATAGCTAGAGTAGAGATGTGTTACTTTGAAGAGGGGGAATAGCAAGTCCATGTATCTAGTTCCAGTTTCATGCAAAGCTGGTGCTGTAATACTCAAGTGATAAGCCCGGCTACTTTGAATAAGGACCACCCACATACAAGGGAAGAAAATGCATAAATCAAAACCAGCTCACACAGCTTTTTATTATATTGAAGCATAACTGACTGCATGTTGTACAGGAAATGCAACTTTTTCCTATACTCAAAAAAAATTGCCCGCAGCTTCCCTCGGGGGAACACTGAGGAGGATGCGGAGCATATAATTGGTTAACGGGGTGTTAAAGTACGACTTACTTGGGTCGATGGCTAAATTGGTTAACGTGGTTGTGAAATGGGGTGTTAAATTGCGACTTACTTGGGTCGATGGCTAAATTGGTTAACGTGGTTGTAGGAGGGGGTGTTAAATGAGTGAACACGTACACACGTATGCGAAAGGGCGGCGCTGGTCGAAGGGACGTCGATCATTGTGTTTGTGGATTCGTTGGAATTCATTTCACCGCGACCTTGGACGTCGACGCGCCGTACAAACCAACCGACGAGCGGCAACTGAGCGAGCGAGCGCCGACCTTGAGTATATATACAGCGCGACGGCGCATGCGCTGTCAGCTGTCGAATGTTCTCGAAGGAGAAGCGCGCGCGCGGCACAGATGGCGACGGCGCGACGGCGCATGCGCTGTCAGCTGTCGAATGTTCTCGAAGAAGCGCGCGCGGCACAGATGGTGGGCGACGGCGCGACGGCGCATGCGCGCGCGTCAGCTGTCGAATGTTCGAGAAGCGGTGCGGACGGCGCACTACAAGGCGCGAGTATAAGATGCTTCCGCATCTAAAAAATTTGTTTTGCTGTCTAATAGCCATGTCTACCTTGAATAAATATCACCCATCCGCTGGTAAAGAAAACACTCACACAGCAACAACGGGAAGTCTAGCTCTCTCTTCGTATTTTTAAATGAGAAAACAAGAAATCGACAGTTATGGTTTGGGACAGCATTTTTGTGCTTGTCCTGCTTTTACCCTAAGTGGGAGGTCTGCTCACTCCAGAGACCTTCTCAACTTCCTTGCCTCCTTCGCCCCCGAGACGAGACGGCATGGTTGGTACAGGTCCTTCAAGATGAGCTTGGCCCCCCAAACTCATGTTTCACGAAGGCCTTCACTATCTTGAGTGGTGTTGCAGGCAAAGGCATGTGTCTGTGTATATTGCACTATACGAGGGTCAGACAAATGTATACAAAACAATGTTTTTAAGAACACAAGACACACCTGACATTTTGGGATCTAAAATTAAAAATACCTTTCAATACATTTGCTGCATTTATAATACTAGACTACCCTGAGCACTAAAAGAAAATTCCTAATCTGAGAAAATTCATT